CATCTGTGCCTGCGCGCTCGTGCGGTGTGCCTTGCGGCGCCGCGTGCTTGCGTGTGTGCCTGCGCGCTGCATGTGTGGCGCGTGCGTGCCGTGCGTGCCTGCATGCGTGCGGGTGTGCCTGCGGGCGTGCCTATGTAGACCCGTAGGACAACGACCCGTAGGATTATAGAACGGTAATCCATGGAAAATCCTAATAAAATTCACACGTATATTTTTCCCTGGCGGCACACTCGTGTGTCATTCCGATTGTAGCTTTTTTGTCAATTCCCGAAAGAGTTTTGCTGTCGCTCTCTCATAGTCCAGCAATACCAACCCTCTACATTTTAGTAGTGATTTAGTAGTGATTTTAGTAGTGATTTAGTACCACGCTGAAACAATCGTGCCCCCCCCCATACTTCAATCAATGCCGCCCCTGCCAGCAGGCACGTACGCAGCGTCGATGTGCACAGCCATTCACACGTGCCTCGCGGGCCGCTTTCTCAAACCCCCTGAACTTCCAGGGCCCTTACGCGGGCCTTGGACCCCAGCCGCAAGAGACTTCGCGTATAAACAATCGATCCTCCTCGCTCGTACAGGCAGACATTCCACTATTTTGGCTAGCCGTAATAGTTCTGTGTTTAGCTGAACCTGTGATGTATTCACTATTCAAGGTGCATTTGTGTTGTGACGTACGTTCCGGCCAGTACCCTGGGGACATAGACCCTATCAGCATCACTATCAGTAGGGCTGAAAAGGTCTATGTCCCCCCGGGTACTGCCGGAACGTACCCTGGGTACGGTCCGGTATACCGGAACGTACCCTGGTACCAGAGCATATAAATCAACGTGATTTATATGCTCTGCTGGTACTATTCTAATATGCTGGACCGTACCTCGCTAGATACAATAATGTAACCCACCAGGAGGATAGGGTTACAAAGCGTCCCTATCCTTTTGTGTGGAGGAAATTCAGGGAACCCCTAAGTGAATCACTCAGGGTGGTTCTGGTGCGTTTTCAGAGACTAGAATTTCCAAACTGGGTTTATTCTCAACACAAACCTTTCTCTGCTATCTTGGAACTTACTATGTATCACTATACTCTGTATTAAACTAATATAACCTGTTACAAAAATTCGAAGTGACAAGCGGCGGATATTCGAGCGCCATTTCTGTGACCTGTGACGTACGCATTCCCAAGCGCATAGCAATCGGCAATCGCAGCGCCCTCCGATTGGTCGGTGAATCCGCGTCTTCGAACCGAAGTACGTCACAGGTCAACAGAAATGGCGCTTGAAATATCCGCCGCTTGTCACTTCGAATTTTGTAACAGGTTATATTAGTTTAATACAGAGTATTGTGATACATAGTAAGTTCGAAGATAGCGGAGAAAGGTTAATTGTGTTGAGAATAAACCCAGTTTGGAAGTTCTAGTCTCTGAAAACGCACCAGCAAACCGCCCTGAGTGATTCATCTCAGGGACAGGGGTTCCCTGAATTTCCTCCACACAAACGGATAGGGACGCTTTGTAACCCTATCCTCCTGAGTTTGGTTACATTTTGTATCTAGTAGTACCTCGCACTCGCAGCTAGGGCCTGCATACCTCCCAACTCTCATTGGTTGATACAAATCACGTGCCTGAAACTCCTGTTTTAATAATTCCTTTTATGGTGCATTGTGACCCTAACCCTAACCCTAATCCTAACCCTAATCTTAACCCTAACACTACTTAGAATTTAATTTTAAAAATTAACTATATTTGTATTAACCAATGAGAGTTGGGAGGTATGCAGGCCCTAGCCGCGAGTGTACCTCGCCTACTCCACTAACGAGTCTAGGGAGTCGCCTACGCCTACTCCCTAACCCTAACCATTTCAGATAGTTACCAGGGTAAGTTCCGGTATACCGGACCGTACATAGGGTACGTTCCGGCAGTACCCTGGGGGACATAGACCCTATGACTATGAGTCTGACTGAGCATCAGTAGGCCCTAACAAGTTAACAACTCAACTGTCAACACTGAATAGATGCTAACCTGGCGTCTTTCATAACGGTCCGACGGGCTACACGTGTCAAGTTGAAGTTTATGCTATATATTTCTATAAACCCAAAGGCTGTACAATATTATAAGATCAGTAAAACCATATTAAAACATACAGCGCTTTCAAGTAAATTGTTAACGAAATTTGATTTTCCCGGCGAACGTTAGGCCCTATTCTTAATTAGCGCCATCTACCAGGTATTTATACGACTATACGACAGTATACGTACACTTTCTTATACAGCACTAAGAGATCCTGATTATATTATATTTTTTTATTTTTTAAGAATTGGTTGAGATAATATTTTTGGCTATTAATATATTATAGTTTCCAGTACAATTAACTGTGTTATAAATTTTTCTCTATCATCTATGTAAAAATAGTAAAGTAGGTTCTCAATACGTGGCGCCGTGGTCGTACAATTTTGAGGATCTGAACTAAGATAAACATTGGAAATTGAACCCGTGCATTGAAGTGACAGTGACACAGTTCCGTGTTTACGAAATGAATTCCGTTATCAGGGTTTCGTAAGTTTTTATATACGTGCAATTCTGCATGAATCGTTGTCATTAAAAGTAGATAGCGTTATAATAATGATGGTCGAAACCCTCTGCTTTAATAGTATATTATTTGGGTGTACTCAAATTAGCTCGATCAACAGTGGTTTAATAGTGACAGTGTCAGTGAACGGTCTGTGAACGTGAAACTGAAAGGTCGCCGGGCTATTCTGCATGATTTGCGGTGTGCTGTACGTGTGTATTTAAGGTGGTTGTACCATGTGATCGTATAACGGGGCAAAGTGAGTAGTGTCGTTACGGGGTGGTTACCTGTGGCTGTGACAGTGTATACACTGTATAATACGATGTGCAGGAAAAGATAAACGTTACAACATGTATATATATTTTATAATATGTATACTAATATTATTAGGGTAATGTGTTATATCATGCACACAAGTCACAAGGTACATTATAAACTATGCCACTTGTCATTCTTGGGGAATTTTCCCACCACTATGCCGCTATAGATGTGGTTTTGGTAAATGTATACACTTAATTTCCACTTGTAAGAAACAATGGCCGAAATATCTCTTCATGCGTGCAGTTATTGTGATAATGTATATAAAAATAATACATACCGTTGTGTGCATGTTTTCACTAGATTTCACTACATTTTTGTCATACGAGTTCGATGTGAATAAAAATACAAATGTATACAAACATGAGCTTTTTTTGTTCACTGGTCTTTATTCTATCTTCCGGTAGTATTACAAATCGCGTAGCTTCCTTCGTTTTGACATAAATCGTACTTTTGCACGACATGGTTTTTACGTTATTTACCGTCGTGTGGCGAGGCCAAGCTGTAAATTCGCATACATAGCAACTGAAAGGAGGCGTGGCAGGACTTTTATGCCATAGTCTAGCCGAGTGCAGAAAATCCGCTTAGAAATTAAGTTACGTTGCACCCATGCTTGGTTTAAAAATTAAAACTATTTTACATTGAAACTATAGTTAGAATGCCTTGTTTTTATGGTTGAATCCCGCAGGTTTTTTAAATATACGCTGCGCTGGTAAAATATCTTAACTATTTCACCAATGAGGAATGGAGGAATGATGTGTATGAATCTTAGCGAGTAAATTGGCGCTCCAGCTGATTGTACCTTTTTGCACATGTGTTTTGCATAGCAACCGTTGGGGACACACGATCCCTGCCGTGCCTCCGAGTTGCTTTGTAACATAATTTGCGGTTTGGCAACGTCATACGACGGTAAATAATGTGAAAAGCTTGTCGAGCAAAAGTACGATTTATGTCAAAACGAAGGAAGCTACGCGGTTTTTAATATTACCGGAAGATAGAATAAGGACCAGTGAACAAAAGAAGCTCATGTTTGTATACATTTGTATTTTTATTCACATCGAACTCGTATGACAAAAATGTAGTGAAATCAGTACTAAATACATGTCAAACTCTTTTGTCTTTATTAAAGGGAGAGTTTACTCTAGGTTCTAGGGTTATTTTCAGCTAATTTAGGCTATAATTACGCTACATAAAAAGTTTCATGGTTCAATCACCATTAGAAAGATTTTTTTTTAATGTTTTAAAACTAACGACTACAGTTTGATTACAACGACGGTGGCGCCACTCAAAGCGAACGATCTGATAAGTTGCGCAAAACCACTTTCCAGCCAAGGGCTACAGACTGAGGGTGTTTCTTATTTATTCATTTAAAAGCAAAAGGATTGTAATATCTTATAAACGACATATAGTTTTAGTTATAATATGGATAAATTTGCCCTAAAATGAATATCGTTCAGTTAAATAGCATTTAGGTATAAATATAATTGCACTTTTGTGATTAGCCCTCGGTCTGTAACGTGCAAAATAAATGGTAAAATACTCAACCTTTTCGGGGTGGCAGTACGGTCGCGGGTGTCGTGGCGCCGTTCAAATTTCGTAGCGTTGATGTGTAATTAATTATAACAATTAAATTAGGTATCTAGTAACAAATACGTGTGGGTATAGACGATTTGTTATACAGTAAGTACAGTTGTATGCAGTAAAATCCTAGAGGCTACTGTCCCTTTAACTCCTGATATATATATATATACATAATATAATAGTGATATAATTAGTAATAATTTGTGTACAAGTACATTCGTTCTGTTTATTTTAACCAGCTAATCGGTTGTGACATGTGACTTGGATGTAGAAGTCATCGCAATGGATAGTGATACCGCTATTGCAAGTCTTCCGGAAGAAGGTGTCTATAATGATGTGCCAATACTGGACACTGATACCATAACAGATATTATACCCGTTGTTGTGAGCACAGACTATAACCCTACGGTTACATACACATATAAAGACATGGATACATATCAAGGGCCAGCCGTTTGGCTAAATAAGACTAATGGTGAGGTAGGTATGAGCAAAAAAACGTGAGCGTTTAGCTCAATGTTGAAGTTAACGTCAAATTATTCATGTGAATACTGCTAACAAGAGCACTGGCCATCTACCATTAATGTACCATTTATGATAATGACACTTTTGTTTAGGTGCTGCTTAATGGGTGTTAAATTATTATTCAACTAGTTATGCACTATACTACTGTAACGATGAACTACTGTCGAATTGTATTTGTTTTCAGGCAGGTGACCCCATTTTTATCCAGACAGCAGCTGCAAAAGTTATAGCAGGGCTATTTACCGTTCTTGCTCTGCTTGTGACCATACATCAGGTGCAATTCTTTCTGAGCATTTTAATTAGCTTGACTATCTTTCATACACACCATAGACTCAGTCAGGTTAAAAGCATTTTCAATTTCATCATTCTAATATGTCTTTTAGTTTTAGTGCATTTTTCACCTTGAGGGAAGTTTTTCCTTATTTCGTGTATGTATCTTTCTTTGTCCCACAAAAAAATATTTCATAAAAAGTAAGTGGCCTAGACAACCCTTCTTTGAAGGGAATTATTGCCTTGTTGCTAACTCGCCGCATGCCCTTAAAAAACCAAAGGCAGCACTTGCCTCCCCCTAAAACATTTAATTCAACCGTGTTTGTCCCGTAGATTTATCGGCATCTGAAATACTACAACAAGCCGAGTGAGCAGCGATGGATTGTCCGAATACTGTTTATCGTTCCGCTCTATTCCTTCGACTCATGGCTGAGCCTTCTCTTCTTTGAGGAGAGCTACTACGTGTATTTCGACAGCGTGCGAGATTGCTACGAGGGTAAGTCGTTGGACGAGTACGTCATAAGTTGGGGTGAAGATGTTCCCTGGTGGTGCAAAATGCTATTTCTCCAAGGATGCAAAACTTTTTTTATCTCATGCTGTGTGGTTATTTTAGTTGTATTTAAAATTTTACAATTTAAGAAAGTCCATGATTGCCCTACGATTTTTAGATTTAATTTGTATTTTATCTTGCATTTGTTCTATGCAGCGTTTGTAATCTACAACTTCTTGAGCTTGTGCTACGAGTACCTTGGAGGAGAGAGTGCCATCATGATGGAAATCAAGGGAAAATCCCTAAAGTAGGAGCATTTAAATGTTTTGGTGTAATTGACTTATTTCTTCTTCTTTTTACATGACAGTTAGTTTTAGGTTTGAGAAGAAATTGTGTGTAATGTCTATGGTATGGGTCATTCCGAATGTGTAGTCTTCAGTGATTGTTGTTGTTACTGTGTACTAACTATGTAAATGTTTACTTGTTTTGCCTCCAGGGGGAGTTTATTGTCGTGCACGTGCTGCCTTGCAAACAGAGCCTACACTATTGGATTTTTGCGCTTTTGCAAGCAAGCGACGCTTCAGTTCTGCCTTGTGAAACCTGTGATGGCCATCGCAACTATTATACTGCAGGCATTTGGTTGTTACAGTGATGGCGACTTCAGGTAGGGCCTATCTCTCGTATAGATGTGTTAGATCGAGTAGATAGAGATAGCAGATAGAGTAACTACCGTGCTTTAATTACACCAAGTGTGTGTTGTTAATGCGTACACGTGTTGCTTGGTTATAGTGTAAAAAGTGGGTATCTGTACATCACAATTATCTACAATATCTCCTACACGATGGCGCTGTATGGACTCTTCCTCTTCTACCAAGCGACAAAGGTGATGCTGAAACCATACGATCCAGTGCTAAAGTTTTTGACCATCAAATCAGTCATTTTTATATCATTTTGGCAAGGTGAGTTTCATCGTCACTCGATGTCGTAGGAAATTGCACAACGTTAATTCATTTACAGTTGCCATGCTTCTAGTCTTGTGATGCACTTTTGTAATCCTAAATATAGAAATCCATGCACTGCAACTTAGTTTTACTGGTAAGGTACACCTGAAGAACCATCATTCCCTGATTGCCAACAACACAAACTATAGCTATTCTAGCATTTCTATCCAGGTACCATTTTAATCTTACCCATGTGAGTAAGATAATAAACGATCGTAATCCACTTCTGATGTTACCCTTGCATAACTTTGCTCCCTTGTGATGTGGAGGCTTTCATTGATGTAGTGTATAATTGCTGTAGCTTCACGGCGTTGTTGTCACGCCTGCTTGACTGCTGCAGGTGTCGGCCTGGCAATCATGGAGAGTGTCGGATTCATCCAGCCGACGTACAACGTGGCCGGCGAGGAGCAGGAGGGAGTCGGCACCGTCGCCGCCGGTTACCAGAACTTCATCATCTGCATCGAGATGTTCTTTGCGGCGATCGCGTTGCACTTTGCCTTTCCTTACAAAATCTACATGATGAGTAAGTCATGTGTACGATCGATGAGTGTGCCGTATCTAGTTGACCTAGCTGTCTGAGCAAGATAACAATACCCCTCCCTTGGGGTTGCTGGGTCATTTACTTCCGTGTTTTTCACGCATGCTCACCAAAATGTCGACTTTGCCACGCTTCATTGCTAAGCATTGTTTTTGGAATGTCCTATTACCGAACTGATTGGCTCGAGCTGTCAGTCAATTACGCAGGCAGATAGGTCCATTACAGTAGATCAGTAAGTGTTAGAGGCACTTTGCCTTTCTGTACGAAATCTCTGATGCATACACCATATGTAATTAATATATATCAAGAAGAAGTAGAGCCTCTTAAGAAAGGGAACTCTTACATATGAGGGCATCAATAATGTACTGATAGTCTAATTTCACTAGGATTAATTGCTTATCAGATGATAATAAATAATTATAAATTCATAGTTAAATAGCGATTATAATAAATAAACCGCATGTACCTATGTGTAGGCGCATTGCTATTTTATTACGAGGTTTTTAGTTAGTGATTCGTGTGTTTCGCCCACGTTTGTGCGTATGGGTGTATTCTATGACGTGTAAATGACAATACTAAAACAGTAGGCTTTATTTAATGATGCTGCGCTGTTTCCCCGCAGGTGTGTTCACACTGGATCCGGACTCTCGCTTGGCCAACAGCAATGTGAGGGGCAGCAACACACTAACCAGCATATCTAGTAGCCTACAGGAGACCCTGAACCCAAAGGTATCCACTTTGTTTCCTACACTGCATTTCCCAACGCCAGGACGTTAGTAACTGTTAAAGAACATCTTAAGATAAAAAGCAATTTATTTATCATTTAATATTTAATCATTTAACATTTTATCATTTTTTTATCATTTATCGTTTTTTTAAGAATTTCAAAATGTTGTGATGAAGATTGTGAAAACGCCAGTTGTCCGTGATATATCGCTGAGGTCTACTTAATGAAATTACTGACCCGCCGGTCATCTTGTTACGTTTCAGGATATTGTGGTCTTCATTATGCACCCACCAGCCATTTTGTGTTCCATCAGGACCCCGTGATTAATGTTACTCATCTGTCAGCCATCTTGTTTCCTTTCAGGACATCATGGTCGATGCCATTCACAACTTCCACCCCAACTATCAGGAGTACACGCAGTACACGCCCGAAGGAAACAAGATGTCCGCCGAGGACGAGCGGATTGAACAGCTGCGAGCGAAGCAGCGCACACACGTGCAGCAGCAGCAGCAGCAGCAGCAGCAGCAGCAGCAGCAGCAGCAGCAGCAGGTGGCAGATGGCGCCACTGCACAGTCCGAGGCTGACAAGTCCGAGGCAAAGTTCACTGATGACATCATCCTGCTCGATTCCGATGTTGAGTAGACAAGAAAGCGTCCGCGGCCTGCAACGACGACGCTGTAGTTGGGGGTCGCGGGGTCGACCTTTCGAGGTTGGCTTTTCGATTCCTCGGTTTCCGCGACAACCGGTTCGTTACGCGTCTCGGAATGTTTGTGGAATCGTGTCAGAGTGGAAGGGTGCGGAGAGCCAAGCCAGTCGTCGTTGTTGTGGGGAGGTGGGAATTTGTAAATACTAATGAATGCGTATCAATCATTGTCACATGTGAATGTTTGCCGTGAATCTGGAATCCGACGGCCGGACGAGAGATCTTGGTGTAAATTGGACTACGTTTGACTATCAGTTGTCGGGTGTGTGCGTCGGTTGTCTGCGGTGAGAGACAGGCTTACCTGTCGTGCGTGCGTGCGTGTTGTTCCACTGCACGTACTAAACGACAGGGCGGTGCTAGCAAGAGTGATGTCTTAGCAGCAGGCATGCAACAAGATCAGCAAAAAGTGACGCTAGCCGCGGGGCGTGCAAAGTGCGCGCACACAAATTCGTTTTGTATGTTGAAGCGATGGCTCTTCCACGTTTTTTTATTGCGTGACCGTGACAAATGTCTTGACGAGACGACGAATGAAAATTAATCCGTGCTTTTATAAGACTAGTAGTTATGAGCAGTAGAAGCATTGCATGCGCGCCGGCTTGCATGCGGCTGTCAAGCTCGTACTGGTGAGCGGTCATATATTGTTATAACTTTTATTGTGAAGAGAATTTTAAACGTTGTATTTTAAACGTGTAACTTAGTTGCTAGTTAACATAGCTTAATTGCGTGTAATAGTGTGTGTGTGCTGCTGTTTATTGTATTTAATATAGTCTTTCAACGAGTTTTGTGCAGATCTTTTTAGTGTATCTTAAGGGGCGTAGCTGTATTCATGCCAACATAACACCCACCATTGCACAGTATTTATCCGTGTATCTATCTATCTATATCTATTCACATGTATATATATATATATATATATATATATATATATTAATTTATGTATGTGTGCTTTTGTGTGTGTTCATGATATTGACTACCAGTTTTTAACAGAACTTCACCTAGAACACACGATAACATGCACAATTTTACAAATTACGAATTAATTTTACCATCCTACATTCTAATCCCACTTTTTCTCCCCTAAACCTCTTCAGCTACGCCCAGCTCCTATCGCATGGTTTTCTGGTGAAAATTCTGACGTTTCCTCCCGTAAATGCTACGTGTTATTTACGACTGCACACACGATACTCGATGTTTTTATTAAAAACCCTATTTTTTATCTTTAAACGCGGTGGATTTATCTCGGCGATCTAAAGCCATCACTGCATGTCAACGTTGCGTTGGTCCTTGTCGGCGTGCAATGCTGGCAATTAGCAATTAACTACGCGTCCTATTGTGGTGTGTGCTGGCTGCTCAAATCAGCTCAAGTTTACGTCAGTTATGGCCTCGTTTATTCCGTAGTGAAACAAAGGGCATTTCCGTTAAATGTTTGCAACATTTACGTGTATAGTGTTTAATTAATTAATTAATCCGTCTCGTTATGCAAAGCAGATCTACGCATATAGTTACACACACACATATAGTTTCTGGTTACGTGTTCTAGTTCTCGCGAGAGAACGCGGTGATTGCAATGAATCAAATCTTGAACGTCGTGCAACCCAAAAAAAAATTAACACGAATTTACGAAAACGATGTCCGTGTTTGTGACGCTTAGAATGAATAGACAGATGTTTATTTATGCAGAATTTTGTCTACTGTGTTGGAAGTTTTTTTCGCCGTTTTCGTTTTGATGTAGTTTTACAATTTATGGAGATGGATCCAGAAATCCTTCATTAATCCGTGGGGCAAGTCGCCCATACGGGATCCTAGAAAGGCACTCCCACCCATAGAAATATATATAGTATACTATATATATATATATATATGGTATATATATATATATATATATATATATATAGCACATGCACGCACACAGCGCAGCGCACGCGTCCACCCTTCCCACATACGCGCATGACGCACAAGAACACGCACATGCACGCACGGCACATGCGCCCGCATGCACGCACACACACACACACGCACACACACACCACACACACACACACACACACACACACACACACAGCGTGGCACGCCATCTCTATGAAATTACCACTAACACAAACTAGTACAACCTTTGGGTTTGACGCAAGCGGAGAAGACGATGAATACATACATGTTTCATCAGAAGTAAAATAATAACTGATTTTTGTGTTATGTTAAGTAAATTATTATCACACTCATGACGCAATCTTAGTCCTCACCAGCAGTTTGTTCAGTGACGCTGAGGGATGGCGAGGGAGTCATGATCATCACGCGGTTACATCGGTAGAGTATTACGCATCTCGGTGAGAAAAACTGAGAGGGATATTTACAGAACGACAAAGAAGAGAGACAGAGAGAGAGAGAGAGAGAGAGAGAGGCGCGAGAGCGGGAGAACGAGAGAGCGAACGAGAGCAAGAAAGGAGAATGAAAGAGAGAGCGCGCGGAGAGAGAGAGAGCGAGAGCGAGAGAAGCGAAGAGAGCGAGAGAGCGAGAGAGCGAGAGAGCGAGAGAGCGAGAGAGCGCGAGAGAGCGAGAGAGCGTGAGAATGAAAGAGAGAGGCGCGCGAGAGAGGAAGGAGCGAGAGAGAGAGAGAGCGAGAGAGAGAGAGAGAGAGAAAGAAGAGAGAGCGAGAGCGAGAGACGAGAGAGCGAGAGAGCGCGAGAGAGCGAGAGAGCGAGAGAGCGAGAGAGCGAGAATGAAAGAGAGAGCGCGCGCGAGAGAGAGGGGGGGGTGGGGAGCGAAAAGCGAAGCAATTACACGTACATAATAACTACGAAGAATAGCGATTTCGTACAGCCGGTTATATTATACGTATGTACATATCGGACTTCAGTCCTGGAATGTGTTTGCGTGCATCACGCATCTCTTCCATGACGAATGCGTATTTGTATAGGAAAAAGAGTGCAGAAATAGCTCTATAAATAGAGGTGGAGAGAACGCGTGCGCGCGCGCGCGCGCGAGAGAGAGAGAGAGAGAGAGAGAGAGAGAGAGAGAGAGAGAGAGAGAAAGAGAGAGATAGAGAGATAAAGAAAGAAATGAAAAGAGAAGGGTAGATGGAGAGAAAGCAGGAAAGAGAGAACGAAAGGTAAGGGTAAAGGGAGAAAAAGAAGGAGAGAGAGAGAGAGAGAGAGAGAGAGAGAGAGAGAGAGAGAGAGAGAGAGAGAGAGAAATGATGGTGACGATGAGGGCACGTGCTCACCTGCATTGTACCCGTAGATATTAGCCTCGTTCACACGAGACCTCGTATTTATGAAATACGGTATTTGCGAAATACCGAATCTGAGACAAATACGCGCGGCCGAGCGCAATCTGCATGCAGCGCCCCCTTCCCACACTCAGGTAGATTGAGCCTACGAGCGAGAGCGCCATCTGTCGTGGAGTTTGGCGCGAGCGTTCACACGCTGATTCGCGGCTCCAGAAATACGGTATTGCGAGCTGCGAGCGGCTTTAAACAATCAAGTGAACAATGCGAAATAAACAATGCAATACGCACCAACTGCCGATAAAATACGTAGACTGGTCCGCGCTCGACAGTTCCACTCGCGTTACACTGGAACTGTCGAGCGGCGGACCAGTCTATAAAATACGCGCTTCAGAAATATGGTTATTTAGCGTTCACACGAGGAAATGCGCGGTCCAAGAGATCCGGTATTTCTCGAGCACCACAAATTATTCGGGGTCTGGGAAGCCGCGTATTTACATCAAATACCGGATCTGTTCGTATTTCTTGGACCGCGCATTTTGCCTCGTGCTAAATACCGGATTTCTTGCTACGTGTGAACGCGGCCTTATATCGAATGTAAATCTACTCACGCTGCCACGCTTGCGCACGGTGATCTTGCGATCCTTGCCCTCGATGGCGTTGAAGAGGCTGAACAGGAGGTGCGGTGTTCGTGTGTAGAGAGACGCTTTTGCTCGAGGCCGCTTGATAACTTGAAGGCCGCTCTCTCGGTCCTCCGGCGGTGTCACGGGTCTCACGCTCTGCAACGATAAGCCGCCGAACTAAATCTCTGCAGATTCACCAGCAGAGCGACACCGCCGTAGTGCCTACACAAAGAACCTTTGTTTACCAAGTTGTTACCTGCTGTACAGATGAACGCCGAAAATAGTTCTTATATTGGTAAACATAGTGTCAGCTACCCCCCAGTCCTCTCCCCACCCCTTAAAGAAAACACAGCGCAGGCGGGCCACACACACACACATCGCACTAGTACTGCTAACCTGCATCTTTTGCTTTCTAATATGTACACCTGCTGGCGATGATAACCCTTCTATGTGAACGCCTGGAAGCTAATCAGGGAAACCACACATCTAGTAGTGTATCCCAGGCCTCGTGTCATTAGTTGTACTTCGAACAGTTGAAACCTCCGGAATCGTCTTGTGTTGTAGGCAAATAGTAGACTTGTAACGTGGACGCCGTGCAGAGTAGAGATGTAGCAATAGGGATGTAACGTGGGTCGTCGGCACAGATTGCAGGGTTTTCCGGCAGATTCCAAATCAGACAGAGAGCCAGTAGTCGCAGATTCGTTGTGTAACTCCTGGCAATCTCTGCCGGACGACTCTATACGCTACATCTCTACTTGTTACAATTCTATACTCTGCCACGGTTCCACGTTACAAGTCTACTATTTGCTACAACACAAGCGCATTCGGCGAGGTTCAACTCCTATCTATAAGTACAATTTACCCGGTGACATTTAAAATCACTCGTGACTAAGGTATTATAGCTAGCGGCCTTCGCTGCGTGAGTAACGGCTGTGATGACCGGAGGCTGCGTGCAACAGATGGTCAGCGGCTTATTGCGTAACATTACAGTTAGGTGTGTGTGTGCGCGTGTGTGTGTGTGTGTGTGTGTGCGCGCGCGTGTGTGTGTGCGTGCGTGTGCGGCTAACAGCTACGTGAAGCTACCTACACTCTCTTACGCCACTGCATGATCGAGCAATTTTTCTAATCACTGTTTTTTTTCCAGACACGGGGGTAGACGACACGCGATGCTCGGCCTGCCTCACTAATAGAGCCAAATGTTAGAGCTAAACCCGGCGGCAACGCCATATACCTAATCATCTCCCTAATAGGCTTCGATGGATTGTGTTTCTTTTCGAGACCTAGCTCAATCGACTGCCAATACTTTTGCGTAATGCTCACTCGTCATGCACGTGCGCGAAACTCCGCGCGCGCACTCTGGCGGCGGAATCAAGCCAACATTAGAACACCTGTAAATGCCACATAATGGCGTTACGGTTAATGCTAGGGCTAAGATGATGATGACGATGATAATAGTGATAATGATGTTGTTGTTGATGATGATGATGATGATGATGATGATGATGATGATGATGGCGGTGGTGACGATGATGACGACGACATCGACGACGACATCGACGACGACGGCGGCGGCGACGACAACGAAGACTACGATGACGATGATTTAGGATGTGGATGCGGGCCATAATTTTCACATGAGCGTAAGAGGCATATTCACGTTTGAGTAGACAAGCCGGCATACCCTCGGCGGAGTGACACATTCATATTTAACAAGTCATAAAAGCAGAGTGGCGTGCGTGTTGTCTCAAATTTGCTCACCACCCAACTATGGTCATCATGCGATTCAGAAACAGAATGCACACGATTGACAACACGCAAACACACTATACGCAGTAAGATAAGAGCGCGCTGGTTTTTGTAAATGAGGCATGGTGCACCCACAACGCGATCCATCAGCCGTATAACAAATGATTGGACGGACCCCTGACTAGAAAAATACGTCAACAATGAGCTTCCGTGTCAATAAATGAATCAGCTCTATAGCAACACTGACGTCACTAGGTATCGACGTACCCGCGTAATACGTCATGGCTCCTCGGTGCATACTGACGTACACAAGTTTTAACGTACTCTCGTATACGATAGGAATTTTTCATTATACACGCGTAATACGCCTATGGCCTTCGATATAGAAAATCAGCAATCTAAGGCAATCGGAAAGCACTTCAGAGAGAGATAGAGAGATGGAATAAAACCAATAGAATATAAAAATACTCGACATCGCCGCGACGATGGCGCCCTCTACAGCCGAGAGACGACATCGGAGAGAGTTTCTAAGTAGTTGTGCTCCCACTGCACCTGCGGTAGCGAGACGGCTTTGTCTCCTTCCCGTATCGACACGAGAGCCAGCGTCTGGTTGCCGGCGGTGGCGCTGCGTTTGACGCTGAGATGGGGAAACATCTGAATCGCGTCCAGAATGAGCGGATCGTCCTCTCGTGAGATCGGGTGGCTCAGCTGCGACGGTAACTTCTTCGGCCTGCGAAAGGATTCGAGAGGATTCATTTGCGTCAATGAAACGCACGCACGCACGCTTGTGCGCGTGTGTGTATGTATGCATGTAGCTTATACATGCTCTTCCAGCAACTAATTATTTTCGGTCGCTGGCACATGTGCAGTGGTGATAAGTCATGGACGGGGGACCAGTCTAGAAGTGATGACACTATATGCGACACTCGCGCATGAGCACGAATAATCGCTATAATCAATGTAAATTTAAACATTTTAGCACAAACTCAACGACATGCGAAACGCACATATGTAGTCACGAACACGAGAACTACGGTAACATTTTACAATAATATACAATTAAAAGTTAAAACTCTAGGGCAGTATATTCCACA